CTGGAGCCCTAGACAGCACAGAGCCAGATACACACCGTTGGTTCCTACACTCCTACACCCGTGACAAAGTGCGGGCCTTGTCACTTACCAGCAGGACTTACTGCTGGTCTTTGGCATGCCTGAATTTGACCCCGCCCCACCCCCACCCCGGTACTAATGGACAACACAGCTTTGGACATGCCAGGCTAAGTGATCTTCACGGAGCTTCACCCCCAGCCCCCAGTGCAGACTGGGTAATGGAGCCACCCACCGGATACACCGAGCAGAGTCACACACAGGGAGGAGCCATGCCGCGCTCGATTGAAAACTTGTAACTTGTTCATTTTTGCAGTTTTCCACTTGATATTTTTGGACTGTGCGTAACTGAAACCACAAGCAAGTGAAACTAAGGCTGGGGGAGGGGTGGGGCGGGTGCGGTGGGGTGCGAGACTTCCGATGCAGACCCGGGGTGCCCTCCAATCTGAGAGCACAGGAGACTGAAACTAGCCTGCGATGAAGCTGAACTGTCCTAAAGACCCGTGATTCAAGGGATCTCAGTCGGATGCGGTTTTCCTTCACTCCCATCACTATTGCCAGCCTTTGCTATCTGTGTGTGTGTAGGGGAGGGCACAGCACTGCACAGCCTGAGTTCGGAAGACGACAACTTTAGGACTCAGCTCTCCCCTTCCACCATGTGGCTTCTGGAACTCGAACTCAGGTCTTCAGGCGCAGCAGCAGCAGCAAGCACCTTTACTCACTGAGCCATCCTGCCAGCCTTTCCATCTTAACTTTGAGACAGGGTCTGTCACAGAACCGAACCCTGAGCTCCCAGTTTCAGCTAGACAAGCTGTCCTCAAATTCACAATCCTCCTGCCTCAGCGCCCAGAGTGCAGGGATCATTGACAAATGCCTGGTGCTGGGACCTGCAGGCTACTTTCATGGCTGCTATAGCAGTTTGCTTAAGTGTAGTCCCATGGAGCCTGCTTTAGCCTGAGTACCCTCCGCAAATGATTAACCAGTTCCCAGCGTTCCTAAATCACTTGCTCTTCACAGAAAGAAAGGTCAAAACACTGCCTAAGCTGCAGTTTCTTTCAAAGAGCTCATTCATTTGCTGGGCGGAGCCCTGCAGGCAGGGACAGCCCTCCCACTCCCACCCCACCCCCCACCCCCAAAAAAACCAACGTACACACAACTCAAAACCACAGCGGAACAATCAGCCCTGGGAAATAAGGAGCCGCCCAGCAAAGTGAAGCCGGCCTGGTGGGGGTGGAGTGGAGGCAAAGGGACATGGGGCAGGTACCAAGCCTTGGGATCCGCTCCATGGAGGGAGGAGCCTCAGCTGGGAGGTCCCCAAGCCTTCGGTGCCCAGGTCGGCCAATAGGGACCCGCTAGCAAAGCTCACCAAATTAGGCAAGCTGACTGCGCAGGGCGGGGCCTACGGCTGCGGGCTGGGAAGTCAAACCCTTTCCCCAAGCCTGCCCCACCCTGGCTCCCGCTGCCTGGGAGAGGAAGGGCAGGGCGTGTTTGTAAACACGTGGGCTCCACCCCTACACAGAAACTCAAACTGAGAAAGTCTTGGCAGTCGAACCTCCTGCAGCCGCGGAGCTTACACAAAAGCTCAATGGAATTCCTCAGTGTGGAGATAAACGGATGTCAACAGAGATCTTTTGTTGCAACACTTAAAGGCCCAGGTCCCAAGCCACCATCAACAGCGACCACGGAGCCGAGTGACCGAGCGCCCGTGGGAACTCTGAGGAGCCAAGGGCCTGCTCCCTTCCAGCAGCACCAGGAATGTGGCGGACACAAAGTCGGGACTCCAAGGAAGCACTGGGGACACCAGAGCACCAGCTGCTCTGCGGGGGGTGGGGGTGGGGGTGGGGTCTTTACCGCCACTAAGCCACCTGACCAAAAGCCACTCCACACCCGACCTTCAGCCAGTGTCTTAACCAGCTGGCTGCTGTTTGTCTCTTGTATTCCACGCTGGTGTCAAGCTCTCATGTAGCTGGGGACGACACACAGCTTTTGATCCTCCAGCCTTCACCTGACCAGAGCTGAGGCTGGCACAGCCACCTGAGCACGCCTGGTGTTACACGCAGTGCTCAGGATCTTGCAGGGCTTCTTGTCCAGACAAACTCTCCAACCCAGCCCCACTTCCAGCCCCTCTTTATCTGTATGTTCATGAAAAGCACTCTATGAAGCGGCTTGCTAGCTGTGCCTTTAGCCACAGCTTTGAGGAGGAAGATTCTCACAGGGTGATTGAGGCCAGATACTTAGTGAATTCCAGAGTTACAAAGTGACATCCAGTCTCAAAAACAAACAAATAACACTAAAAGTTACCCTTTTTAATCGCACAATCACACACCCTAGTACTGAATATTGAACCAAAGTCATTTTTTTGTTTGTTTGTTTGTTTTTGGTTTTGGTTTTGAGATGAGGCCTCACTATGTAGGCCTGGTGTTTCTACAACACATAATGTAGACCAGATTGGCCTTGGCAGATCCTCTGGCTTCTGCTCCCAAGTGCTGGGATTTCAGGTGTGTGCCACCATGCCATACTCGGCTAACCTAGGATGCCTTGCAGGCTCCTTAAGTGTCTGTCCTACCCCTGAACTCATCCCAGTCCTCTTCTTATTACAGGATGACAGGGTACCACTGTGTTGCCCAGGCTAGTTTTGGCCCTACTCAGTAGCCTAAGCTGGTCTTGAGCATTTGCTTTTAGGGCTGCCCCACCTGTTCCTCATGTAAGCATCCTCTGCTTGCTCAAAGCCACGTGATTTCCCATGTAAATAACAGGCCACAATTTTCTTAACTGTTGAGAGCCATGAGCCCTGGCAATGAGTGTCTTGAACTACGGGTGGGAGGGGCTTTGTGAGGAACCCTCAGTCTCTTACACTGACTGAATCATTTTACAAACAAACACCTGCACCTGTAATCCCAGCACTTAGGAGGCTGAGGCAGGAGGAGTACTGCAAGTTTCAGGCAAGCCTGGGTAACATATTGAGTTATGAACCAGCCCTAGCTGCAGTGAGACTCGGTCTCAAACACTGAATCAGGGGCTTAGATGGCCCCACGGGTAAAGAAAGGTGCTTGCTGTCAAACCTTACTACCTGAGTCTGACCCCCAGGACCCCATGGTGGGAAGGAGAGCAAAGACTCCCCACAGGTTATCCTCCAGCCTTCACATGCCTCTCCCAACAAATAAATACATAAATAAATCAATATAATTTTAAAAAGAAACAATATCAAAGCAAGTTCCACACACAGGGTCTCCGTACTGCTTTGACTAATCCTGGGCTCTAAGACCGGCCTTGGGCTACATCCAAGTTCAACACCTAGAAGACAATGGGTCATGCGTATGTATTGTGGGTGTTAGAACAGGGTGAATCCCAGCCTGGAGAGAGGCTGGAGAAAAGCAATCTCTGATGAAGTGACAGGGCTGAAGGACACAGGGTGGTGCTGAGCACAGGATGGCTGTCAGGTCTCACCACTACCTTCCTGAGCCCTCTGCCATCACCGCAGGCCTCACAGCCTGGAGGACGCGGCTGTTCGGGAAGCTGCAATAATCTGACCTACCCAAGCATGCGCCTTGTCGGCAGAGCCCTAACCCAGTGTGGTGCTTTGAATAAGAACAGCCCCGTGTATCGGAATGCTTGGCCCACAGGTGGTGGAATGTTTAGGAAAGATTAGGAAGAATGCCACTAGGGATGGGCTTCAAGGCTTCAAAGCCTGCCTCAGGTCCATCCCCACCTCTGCCTCCTGCCTGCACATCTAGCTACTGCCCTAGTGCCAGGCCTGCCTGCCCAAGGATGGCCCCACCCACCATGGGCTATTGGTGGTCATCCCATGGCACTGGCATCTCCAAAACTGCTGGGGTCCCTGGCTGTAACTAGGCTGCAACAGTGGCTCTCACAGCCTTTCTCCACGGTGCCAAGCGTCAGCTGTTCTCCACGCCCCGACATGCTTTCAAAACCAGAACCACCCGGGTGACTCTTACACTACTAAGTTTGGCTGCCAGCACCAGGTACAACCTTGGTTGCCTCTGGAACACAGGAACACTCTATTGCACAAAACCAAGCAGTACACCTAGCATGTGTAAAAGTCCAGGTTTCATTCCTAGCACTGGAAAAAAAGAAAGTTTTTAAGAGCTAGCTAGCATCAAGCATTGCCTTGGAGAAGTAGGAGGTGTGACCTTGGGGACTGAGTGAGGGTGCCTATAGGAGTGACCCACGGCCAGGGCTCAGGGACAGCAGAACTCTGGCTTTGCTGGAAAGTAACTCTCAGGGTTTTGTGGGTTCCCACCTCCTACTCCACAAGGAGTATACCACTCTTGTTACTGTCACAAGAGTGCCGGCCATGTCTACCATATTTACAGGGCTGGTCTGTGCCGTGAGTGGGGGCTGGAGCCACAGAGCTCAGGGGTGCCATGGCCCAGGCCTGACAGATGGCACAGCACTTTCAGAAACATCACAACATGTGAGGGAGCGGGAGGGAATCCTGCTTCACTAAAAAACACTGGCCAGAATCCGAATCCCCCCCCCACCCCCCGCACTCTCTATTTTGAAACAGGGTCTCGTGTAGCCCAGGTTGGCTCATCACATAGCAGAAGATGATGACAGCCTCTCTTGCCCTGCCTGCCTCCAGGATCGCAAGCATACACTACCATGCCCAGTTTATGATGTACTGGGAAGTGAACCCAGGCCCCACATAAGTACTCAACTGAGCTATGTCCCAGCCTATCTGCTCTGGAGATAAGGTCTCTCTCACTGAGGGGCCAGGATGTTCTTGAATGCCCATGTAGCCCTGGCTGGCCGTGCACTGACAATCCTCCTGCCTCAGCCTTTGGAGCGCTGTGTTAACAGGACTGGGCCACACACCTATTCTCCTAGTTGCTTTAGGAGAACCTAACTCATAATCTGCAACCTGGACAGGTGGTGACTTCAGGGTGAATTTCCCTTGCAGGAGTATCTCCCAGAGTCTAGCTCCATCTCAAGGTCCCCTGGTGCACTCACAAGAGCCTGCTCACCTGATGGTGCCGGTCGGGGAAGGGATGGGGCTGACGAGGCTCCGGAGATCCGGCTCCGGAATGTGGATCTTCAGTGGGGAGATCTGTGGGTAGAGTGGCCGCAGGGGCGATGCTGGGGCCTCCTCTTTATGGTACAGGGACGTGAACTGGATCTTGATGGCTGTGCTCGGGAACCGGAAGGTGCATCTGTAAAGGGAGGACATCGGCTGGTCAGGTACAAGGTCACTGGGTACAGGAACTGAAGTTCCACCACCCACAGGGCAAGCTTGCAGGGGCTCCTGGAACACTGGCATCAGCTGTGCTCAGCCTGTGAGCAAAAGATATAAATATCCCTAGACAGGTGCTACAGAGACGCACTCTCGGAGCTCCCACGTGCCAGGACTGCAGAGGTGACAGTGAATGTGGTTCCTGACCCCAGCAGCAAACAGTTAAATGGGTCCTGCCTCATTTGTGTAGATGTCACTCATTCATTCATTAGAAGACAAGGTCTCTGGACTGGTCTGGCACTTGAGACCCTCCTGCCCTTCCTCCTGAGCGATAGCTAGGATGACCGGCACACATCAGCATGTCCGGCTTATTGCAAGATTTTAAAGGCAGATTCCTTCAAAGTATAAACAAGTGCCACCTCATAAAGGTAGAGGGATAGTCCACAGACAGGGTGTGATCATGTGTGCACACACATATGCATGTATATGTGTGTGTTCGTGTCTGTGTTCTCTAACTGGCTTCTCACTAAACTTGAGGCTTACAAGCCTAGAGCCTGGTATGTCTATTGAGTGACAGGTGGACAGACAGACAGACAGACAGACAGATCTGACTCTGAGCAGCCATGGAGGCCCCTCCCATCCCAAAGACCACACCCCATGCTCAGACAAGGTGGGCAACTTTCCCTATCTCTAGGAAATGAGCATGATTTGCTGAAGGCTCCTCCTCACTTCTAATTCCGTGTGTGTGTGTGTGTGTGTACGCACTCGCGTGTAAGTGTGTCGGTGTATGGACACCAGAGGCTCATGCTGAGCTAGACTGGCTGGCTGGCAAGCTCAGGATCTGCCTGCCTCTGTGCTCCCACACATATGCAATAAATATATACAACTTGAAACAAGAAGAGAAAAAAAGACTTTGAGGCCGTCGTAAGGCACAGGGTGAGTTCGGGGCAGCCTGGGGTACACAACATCTGATGTCACCCCTACCCCGCTCTGCATCTCGAGGCCCAGTAATACCACCTCCCGCACGGGAGTGGCGTACACACAAGGACGGGCAGACATCACGGGGGGGGGGGGGGCCCCTCATTCCTCAGGCACTCCCCTCCTCAGTTTAGGGAATCTGGGCTTGCTTACAGGCTAAGCTGGCTGCCAGTGGGGCTGGGAGATTTTTCTGACTCTAGCCCCCCGCCCCTCCCCTGTGCTGTGATTACAAGTACGTGCCACCACGCCTGGCTGTGTGTGTGTGTGTGTGTGAGTGTGTGTAACATCAACCCCAGGCCCTCGTGCTTGTACGGTGAGCACTTTACCCACCAAGCTGTCTACCCCAGCGCCTCCATCAGTATTTGAACTTGCGGAACCCATCAGTCATTTTTTCTAAGCTGCCTTCTTGTGTCTGTGCACCATCAGGCCTACATATCTGTAAGCATTTACCAGCCATCTAGCACATGTCTGATGACAGCTGGGGGGGACTGACTGGGAGACGCCAGTGGGTAAGTGAGCTAGCTGAGGGTAACTTGAGAATGCCTGACTGAATGAACAGGGAGCACACAGTGCATGTGTGTGCATGCACATGACACACTTGGTCAGCCCATGTTCTGCACAAAGGTTGTCATGGTAACAAATCTCCTCTGGTTCTTTGCCATGTGTCTCTTTCTCCCTCTCTACTCACAGGGAACAGGGATGATAACATGCTACCCCTCCCTCTGCTGGGAGGGTGCAAGGACCCTTGAGTCAAACTGAGAGCCTGCACTTCAGAATCTTCATGACTACCTGACAGAGCCTGTGGCTGTAGCCGAGGTCTGTGGTCACAGCAGACAGGGGTCCTGGAGAGCAGGCTGTGGGTGTGACAAGAATGAGCCTGTGGACCTGGGCCGGGCTGAGCTCGGCCTGAAGAACTGCGGCCCAATACTGGAGAGAGGTGAAGGTTTCCAAGGCCTTCCCTGGCTCGCCATCTGGGTACAACTGACAGACAAACACTCTGAGTGGGGCTTACTATGCAGACAGGACCCACCAGAGAAAATGGGGCAGCACCCTTTGGCCTCTTCCTTCTTCCTGTCTCTTCACCAACTAAGCTGGAAGGATCGACTGACAGCCATCTCCAAAGGCTGCCAGCGCAAACCATGATTATATGTAAGAAGTGTGTGTGTATGTGTGTGTGTGACAGAGAGAGACAGAGGAGTGTGTGTGTGTGTGTGTGTGACAAAGAGAGACAGAGACAGAGAAGTGAGTGTGTGTGTGAGACAGAGAGAGACAGAGAGAGGAGTGTGTGTGTGTGTGAGAGAGAGAGAGAAAGAGAGAGAGAGAGAGAAAGAGAGAGAGACAGAGAGACAGAGAGAGAGAGGTGTATGTGTGAGAGAGAAACACACAGTGAAAGAACTGTGTGTGTATGCACACCCAAGGACAACCCCGTGCAGAGTTACAGGCGGTTGTGAGCTGCCTGATGCGGGTGCTGGGAACTGAACTGTGGTCCTTTTGAAAGCAGCACATAACCTCTAATTCCTGAGTCACCTCTCTAGCCCCAGCAATCAAGATTCTAAAAGCTAGAGACACAGTCGAATGGAAGAGGCTCTCACTGAGCAGCCAGAGTGGTCCTCAGGGCCAGAGCAGCTGTGGACATGTAGGCCCCAGACTCTGGCTGCAGTACAGCCAAGTAAAACACACCCCGAGAGGAATACGTGATGTCGATGGAGATGTTTGGTAAACTGACCTTCCCTCCTCTGGCCTCCTTTCGTGATGTTGGGGACCATATGTCTCCACAGTAGACAACATCTGATTTGATCCCTGGCACCAGG